CTGGTGAAAGACGATTGGTTTTCAATCAATCAGAAAATCACTATTTTTGCCACTGTTAGAGCGTTTGAGCAGGTGCACTTTCCTGGTAAAACATGTATACCTGATGTTTTGTTCCAAATTTCAACAGCCAGTTCGTAAAGGAATAATACTTTGCAGTTGTTTTGATAGTTTGTAGATAACCTATCAACAGTAACACCTTTGCATTCCAATAAATTGGTGATATGTTCTCAGGTGATTTTAACAACCTTGCTTACAACACTTTGTAATTCTAAATTGTAATGTCGGAGGTCACTGTAGTGCACTCAGGTCTCGTCCACAATTAAAAATCGGCGCACAAATTCATTTTTATTATTTTCAAATTGATTCAGATGTTTGTCGAGAAAGTCTTCTCGAGTACGTTTTTGATCCAAGGCTAATTAATGCGGGATCTACCTTGTCAGTAGCATCAAGACCCTAATTCATTTTTCAATATATAAACACAAGATCATATAAGATGCCTCATCAATTCCACATGTGGCTTCTCGCTCATTATCTAAGACTATGTCGTGTAGAGAATTAACAAACCATCCTTGGTAGCAGTTTTCTTTCGTCGACCGCTACATTTTTTCAAGACAAGCTTTATCTAGCTGATCTCTGGAGTGCGGTTCGAGAAAGCCCATTATACTCCTTCTGCACAAAATCAAGTTCCATTTTCCCGTAGGTAATTCTAACATTCCAGGACTATACTCAGACGAAATTTTGAATGGATATGACTGCGCTATCATCTTTAATTCCTTATAATTCCTCGTAACTCACGGCAATTCCTGAGAATTCACTTTGCACCTTCGTACGTTCGTAACTGCATACAGCGTAAACTAAAAATTGGGAATTGCTTTTTCAGAAGAGCACTGAAAATGTAAAAAAGAGATTGAAGAAAATATACTCACTATTCATTTTGTAAAGAATCTCAAGTACTTCCCTGTTGCATGTCTTGTTTGTAAACAGTACCTGAAGTTATCGATGTTCGATTCAAAAACATGAGTTTGTTTCCTTCTTTCTTAATTTGCAACATGACAGACTGTCTATGTATTCTACTATGTCCACCCTGACAGTTTTTTAACTAAACTAACATAAAGTCAATAACTGCTTTATTATTTTAGGAATGTGTCAATTTCGGACTTTCAAATGCGACTTGTTTATAAACTATAAACCTCTGGTTTGGATACTGACTAACATAGCACCACAAAACATCATACCTTTTCACGAAGTAGAGGGAAGCAGGGTAGTACTGATCCACTTAGTTTAGAGTTTTCGGCACTTAATATTTCGATCATATTAACGCTTAACCCGCGAGGTTGATTAATTTAACGTTAATCGCGAGTATCGGTATGCGATACCGCTTTAGATTTTTTACATATAAAATTAAAAGCATAGTGTAAATATTTGAAGGTTTTATTAATTTTTTTTATAAAATAAAGCAAAACAAAAAAATTAGCTGAATAATAATGGCATTTTAGACAAAAGATTGCTAGTTTTCAGCGTTCTTCTTGGTCGGCGACACAGTTCTTACACATTTTGCTGGCATGCTCGAGGCAAATCGGTTGCTGACAAGAGTAGGATTTGTAAAGCGTCTTTCTCTTCTTCTGGTATGGACACAAAAAAACAAGTCTTCTTCAATTCTAGGCGCTCGTCTCTTGACGTTGATGGTTCGTTCCTAAGATCGTCGACTTCAAGAGCGCCTTTGATAAGAGCTTGAAGTTCTTTGTACAATTTTGGATTTTCAAGCCTTTTTGCCATATGAGGCTTTACGAGTTGCATCGCTAGTTCTTCAATAAACAGACGTCTGGATTTTGGTGTAACGTCTTTCTAATGGAGAAATAAAACGTATGCATTTTTGGTAGATATATCTATCAGTCTATCAAATATTGCTAAGGGCCAACGACGAGTACGACGGCTTTAGTCGCATTGTAAAATGATGTTATTTCAGGAAGAGCGTTTTCGGTGTCGGTTTGCTTTAGAATGATGGGCTGAAGACACCAATAATACAGCTTATTTTTTTATGTTCCATATTCTTGCTCAGAAGTGGAAGAAAAGTCATCGTCTATAATTGCATCTTCCTGCCATGTTTCGTCATTGGAATCTTCTACCCTAGAAGAGTCTTTTTGTTCGTCATCAGATTCCAATCCATCGAACCATTTTCTGAGCTTTTGCTCATAGTCTTTGCACTAAACTCTACTCGCTCTAAGCCAGATGCCATGATCTGAAATAAAAACAAACTTTGGGAATTGATTTACAAAATCACTGGATTCGAACATAATATGTTATTTCAATAACGCAAATTTTGAAAAAAATAAATACCATAATAACATATTCCAGAATACCAAATATTAGCATACAGCTCTCATACTCAACTCTGTGAAAATTTATTTTTGTACGCACAAATATATATTGATTCATATAAAATATTTTGTCATAAGCACTACTATTGTTTTTACCTTCTGAAATGTGTTTTTTTTTGGTTTTGGATACGAAGCCATTTTTTCACGTAAATGAATAAAAATAAGATAAAAAACTTACCACGACTCAATCGCACATAAACACATAAGATACAATTAAACTAATATTTCCTTGACTGGACGTGTAACCAAAAGTTCTACGCTATACGCGACTATCGGTATGACGAACCGCCAGACTTCAAAGTATCACTTCCACAAATCGGTTTTGAGAATACTAATTACAGCGCCGCTTTTCCCAATTCGACATCATACAATATACTGAAGTTAGGTGGGGGCTCAAGGTCATGAGTTTATTCTGACCGCAGTTATGGAAGGTGAATTTTGAAAAGCGGTACAGGATACCGTGCTCGCGAGTCAAGGGTTAAGGCTTTAGTACTACTTGGAAAACTTGCTTATTTTTGCTTGTCCTAGAAGCTCTGCAAAGAAAAGCTACAATTTTGAGGACAGCCTGAATAATACAATGATTGTCTGCTCTGCTAAACCAGTGGAACTACGTGTAATGTTATCGTTAAAAATGGCATGTTAAAGTTCCATTCTGCATTACTTTATCTTTACTTCAACTGTTTACTACTACAGACCTGATTACAGTTGTTGCTTTTTTTGGATTACACATAAACTAAGCTGCTGAAGTACTCTACTCCATTCATGCGGTCTATTGAAGTGGACTCATGGGACAAAAACCACCCCCTTCGAATTCCAAACCACTTAAAAATATAAACATAAAAATTGATAGGATAAGACGTCCCGTTTCTCCCCTCGTCTTATATAGGTATAATGGGCGATGTCTCGAGGAAATTCTAAGATAAAACGTGAGCGAATTCAAAGAGAGAAGGATCTAATATGATTTTAGGAGCTCCCCTTCCTCGCAGAGTAAGTGTCTGTTCCGAAAAAGGCAATATTAAATGTTTGGGTGGCAGACTGTTCTGGCGAAAGGGTGGAGATAAGGAGAATGCTCTCTTATATAGGTCAGTTAACATAGAAACAATTCTTCGTCTAAGTCGTCTCTATATCAATCTAGATCCAGCAAGTAACATATCTGCAGTTTTTGCCTCTTGGAACATAAAAGTCAACCCTAAAGCAATAATTAATAAAATGAACTTGTTGCCGGAATTTGAACATCTCATCACATTCGCTGCAAATCTTATGTCCTTTGATGAACGAGAAAAGTTCCGGTGGAAGTAATAACCGCAGAAGGTCTGAAGAAATTAGTATCAAACTGAAGACATCTAAATTCGTATTGAGTCCGCTACTTTTAATTTCTCCCTAAATCTGCGATAGTCCTAGTTTCGGGTTACCTGTGTCTGATCGCTGTTGTAGTATCATCAATAGTACTACTGTCCATGCACATTTCTCTAGTGCACTTTCTAGGTTATTCCATATCTTGCCTTTGAACTGTCTCTGTAGAAGCCCAAGAAGCTTTTGAGTACCTGCCTTAATCCTGGTCAAGTTTGCAGTTTTTGAAACAGTTTCTGTCCATTGTGCCCAGTCGGCGTACAGTACAAGTCTGTTGATATAAATGCCTTTGGACTTGCCACGTGAAACTTTGCTGATTAACTTTATTCGAGTTCCTATTCAATCGCAATGCAGTCTAAAATGAAGAGAACCAGTTACGAGAACGGTTCTGAGACAGTTATTTGTAGAATCCAAATAAGTATATTCTGGATCCCTTCCTTCACGGTGTAGAGCTTTTCCCAGGCAATCAGTACCATTGAGCGCTGATTTCTCTTCCACTGAGAGTTGCAAAATTACTTTTTGGTATCTGCTTCTGCAATGCAGTCTAAAATGAAGAGAACCAGTTACGAGAACGGTTCTGAGACAGTTATTTGTAGAATCCAAATAAGTATATTCTGGATCCCTTCCTTCACGGTGTAGAGCTTTCCCAGGCAATCAGTACCATTGAGCGCTGATTTCTCTTCCACTGAGAGTTGCAAAATTACTTTTTGGTATCTGCTTCTGCAATACTACACTTAGGAACTAATCATGGACTAAACAATTATATTCGGTTTGCTATCAGTGTGCTGCTTCCAATCCTATATCCTTAAGCGATCGTACGCGATTTGAAGATTATTTGAGGCTACCAATACTGTGACGTCATGAGCGCCATCTGTAGGTGGCAGTAAGTACAGTAGTGCTGTCGCTAGTACTTTCCGTTGGCGACAGCAAAAATCATCAGCCGCGCCATCTATCGGCGAACATCGAAACTACAGAGCCTCCAAGGGAAACCTCGAGCGGTCCTGGATATTCTGTAAGGATAAAGAACATTCCACGCTGATATTTATACGAGGGATGTCTTTTAAGTTTTGCATATAGATACATAGTAAGCCGCGCGGATCGAACGTCAGTACTGAATCTTAACCTCACCCTTTAGTAAACTTAAATTCAAAGTTCCACAACAATACGTGCAGCGTTCTCACTATAGTGAATTTTTAAGTGTCACCAAGTCATTAGAAAAATGGAACTCAACCGAGAACATTTTCGCGCCATAATTTATTACAACTTTTAGAGACAATTATCGCAACAAGAATGCCTTGCTGAGTTACTGTCTGTTTTCGGCAACGAAGCGCCACATCAGTCGACAATTTCCCGTTGGTATGGAGAATTCAAACGTGGACGGGTGGGTCTTAGCGACGATCCCAGGGTGGGTGCACCAAAAACGTCGATGCTGTGCGCAAACTCATCATTGAAGATAGACATGTGACATATCGCGAGATTGAGGCGTCCTTGAAGATCTCAAAGACAACAATTCAAAAATTTTTACATGAAGAAATAGGAGTAAGAAAATTAGTTGCTCGTTGGATACCCCACCTGTTGACTGAAGAGCAGAAAGCAGCCAGGGTTAATTGGTGTCAAAAAACGCTTGACCGTTTCAATTCCGGAAACTCATAGAATGTGTACAGTATTGTTAGTGGTGATGAATCGTGGATTTACTGTTATGAACCATAAATAAACGACAGTCGGCTGTTTGGGTGTTCCAAGGTGAAGAAAAGCCAACAAAAATCATCCGTTCTCGAAGTGTTTCGGAGAACATGGTCACGGCATTTGTGTCAAAAGCGGGTCATATTGCAACAATTCCTCTTAATGAGCAAAGAGCTGTTACTGCGGATTGGTATATCACCATTTGTTTGCCAAAAATCATCACCGAGCTTCGAAAAATCAACCCCGAAAGAAGAATCATCCTCCGCCAAGGCAATGCAAGCTCGCATACAGCCCAAAAAACAAGGCAGTATTTAACGGAAGAAAACGTGTAATTCTTGGATCATCTTCCATATAGTCCCGATCTAAGTCCTAACGATTTCTTACTTTCCCGAAAATTAAAAACAGACTGTGTGGTCAAAGGTTCCAGTCACCAGAAGAAAGCAGTTGACGCATTCAAAAATGCCGTTTTGGATCTGCCAGCAACCGAGTGGAATAAGTGCTTCGAAAATTGGTTCGAGCGCATGCAGATGTGTATAATCTTCGTGGAGAATACTTTGAAAATCAGTAAAGTCATTTAAAACTGCCTACGTGTTGTTCTATTTCGATATGCAAAACTTAAAAGACATCCCTCGTATCTAAAAAGATTGTCGACGCAAGCACGGAATCGCGGCTCTAGTATAAACTTGTTATATATAAGTGCTGATATGATAATAAATTACTTTGCTTAATAAATAAGTATTTCTACTTCTCCACGAACTATGTGTGTAATTGTCAGTCAATAATCTATTGTGTACTATAATAACCTAAAATACTTCACGGAAACAAGCAAGCTGTCAATATTCATGGAGTTAGTCCAAGACAATGTTTTTAGCTACTTTGGCTGGACTATAAAGAGTGGAAGTTTAGCTGGTGATGCAATAACGCCTCGCAACGGACGTGCTCTTACTCAGAGGGGGCTGGAAAGTTTCATAAGATATGGCATTTTTTATACTCATATAATGATTTATTCTCTGTCAGCCCTTCTTGGGAGGTGCATACCAGTGCTAACCAAAAATTATCCCTATCACCAATCAATAACGTTACCTAACTATTTTTCACGAGGATACAATACTTTTTGACGTCTACTGAGGTAAACAGCATATCAGCAAAAGAAGTCTTCGTATTAAAGGCTGTATATAGTATTGGTAGGGCCGTATCCAGAGCTGTTTATACCAAAAACTTATTAATTTTTGTTCACACATCTGCTTATATTGTTTTATTCCCACCTGACTTCAAATGTAGTCATGGCCATGTTGCTTGTAGCATTTTTACAATATGAATCAGTATTGTACAAAAAACCACCTGAAATGTGACTGTCTACCTGGAATTGGCAGATCCGTCACAATTGTGTATCACTGGGAATTTTGAAATATTACTAGAGAATCAGCTGTCGTTTGCTATTACGGTGTCGTAGTGGATACTCATGAAAAACGCTTTAGTTTACATGGTACCTCTAGTTTTGAATGTAAAAATGGACTTGATGTGAAAGTCACTGCAGTAATAACGCGCAATGACGTATATAGAACTTCTAGTGAGGACGTACTGGGGGAATGAATAGACCAAGAAAACAATCACCGGGGGGTGGTATGTCCGGCTCTTTCGAAACCGTAAATGGTGAACATAACGTAAAACACATTTGTACCTCCTATTTCCAGGTAGACCACGTTTCGAGAGATACATTTGCCAATTGTTTTTACAGCTTACCTAAGAAAATTTAAGCAGTTTAATATTTTCATCTTGCAGAGTGAACCGTTGTTACCCCTCCTTAAAGAGCTTGAAATATCCATGCGCATGCCTTACCAAAAAAAAAAACGCAGCACTTTACTTTTGTATCGGAAAATACTGTATATATTTCAGTATTTTTAATCATCGTAGTTAAAGGTACTGGAGGAAGTTGACAAAAAATAAACATGTATCTCTCTAGGAAAATCGCCGAAGATTTAATATTCTGTACTTGAGATGCAAAGTATCTCACTATATACTGTGTGACCCATCACAAATGAACACTTCTGTGTATCTTCCAGACGATATGAATTAAGCTTTCCAATGTTTCAGGTTATCATCTGCGGTTTTTGAAAAGTCATCCACAAAATTTGTCAGGTCAACAGATATCGAATAGCGAGTCGAGAAGAAGAGGTGACAATGTTTCTGGGTCTGTGCTGACATCCTTTCGGGAGTTGAACTCTACATTTAAGGAACTAACAAATACTTTATCGCCGTCAGAATATTAAAACTCAAACTCGGTATCCTTCAGTTCCAAAGCACCCCAGTCCAGAACCTGTAAATTACCTTACTGGTTTGCAAAGTTTAAGATAACAAATAAATAGTTTATCTAATAATTAGAAACCTAGCCTATAACGTGATCAGCAACATTTTCTAACGTTCAGGGATCCCGGATCTCCTACCCCCTCCTTATATACAGAATTTCCGCTAGATTAGTTAAGGTTGGTTCGAATTCAGCTCCAAGGTTTATCCCCCACATACTAACTAACAGTTCAAGTTAGATTGAGCTAAAAATACTAAAACACGAATCAGTGATTTTAGCTATGTACTAATATTCTGTTGTCTCTGTGTGTGATGTCTCCTTCATGAATTTTTATCCGGCTTTTTGGAAGATTTAGAAAAGGCGTCAAGCAACCATGCTTTATTCACAGTTTAAGTAACGCTTCGATGCTCTCCAAAGCGCAACGCATATAAATAAGTTAATAGCGCCTGCATTCTGTCGCTAAAAGTGAAGCATCAGGTTATTTTTCCTGGAGTTTTCTTTTGCAAATGCCGTTGACTTTACTGACGCTCGCGAACTTTTTGCTCTTGTAGTCTTAGAATTAATATTTATACAGTAGGGCAAGTGTAAAAGAAAGTGTAGGGCTCAAGAGTCTCAATTTACGAAACGCGTGCCTAGCACACAATAACAGCTATGAGCAAGAAATTTTGTCCTCAGCATGGTGGTAATCTTGGATCACAATTTCACCAAAATCTGAACAGTAGGTCCTTTTGAATCAAAGAGGTATCAAGGGTTATGACGACATACAGACGGACGAAAATGATGACTTGCTTTTTGGTACAATAAACAAACTGGTGATATCTCGACTTCAAAATATTCGTGATTACAATACTTCCTCCTCGATTGAATGGGAAGTAAAAAAGTCAGCATTTAATCATTTTATACTGATACGGGAGAAAACGTATGTCATTGTGTTATTTATGATGGCAATAGAAGCCCTAAGCTGCTATCAATTCAGATAGGCTCTGAAATAGCACAAGGGATACACAACTCGTTGTACGTGCTGAGAAATTTTATCACTGATTTGCGAAGATCAACGTTATGGGGCTCAGAATTTCTAAAGTTAGATATAAGTGGGTCAAAGTTGCGAAGCTATTGTAAATCATATCGGACAAATAAGCCGTCTGAAGCATGAAGAAGTATTTAAAACCCAAATTGTAACAAGAGGCAGCTTGAATTTTTGACCATTGTGCCACGATATGAAATAAAGGTGGTCAAGTAGGATGACTCACTTCCCTCGCAATGCAGTATTAGGTTTATAAGTAATATCATAAGGACATCTAATTTTTCCGAAAAAAATCGAAAAAAAACGTTGCTAAGTTTTATTTTAACAAGAAACAAGTGGCACCTGTACGAATGTTTTTTGTTAAAAAAAAATTTCTATGCATTGTTTTTTCGATTTTTTTTCAGAGGAAAAAATAGGTGCCCGAATGGTATTTCAATAAACTATTTCATGAGTAACAGATTATTCTGCACATAGCTTACAAAACATACTGCCTACCTATTAAAGTATTTTTTCAGGTCCTGCAAATTCCTTCGTTCCGCATTACGAGCCTCACTACTAACCGTATTGCACATTGTTTTCACAACTAGTTTTTTGTAATTTTCACCGTTTTCTTTCTTCGTATTCCACGCCCAATCTTTCAGGATAAGGTTTAGTTGCTTTAAACTTTCTAAAAGCTCGTATTTCTTTGCCTTGCAGAATTACCTAAACTGTTTTCATATTGACGTATGAGTTTTAACAGTATTGTACACTTTTCTCAATCGCCAGATCAATATTAGTCAAATAATCACTTCAAAAGCGACTCAGTTTCACTGCATAAGCTGACTGGCACTGTCTAAAAACAATATTACAAAAATTTATTGGCATTAAAATCAGAAAAATTGTTTAGCGTCGATTTTTGGTGTCCTAGGAGACCATAATTACTTGTTATCAAAGGTACTGTAATTTTGGGTGTCAAGTTTTGCCGGAGGTAAGCTCGAAAAACTGCTGACAGGTGCTGTCATACAATTTTTCCATCTAGAATCTATTTGTAATTCAAAATTGCGCGTTTGTGATTAGTAGAAATTAAGACGAGGAAAATATTCGGCACAATTTAGCCTATATATAAATATCAGTGTCGTCCTATTGACTGTGTTGGGCTTTATTGAGGATATTCCTAGACATGGAATGAAAAAGTTTCAATAATCAATTGATCAATAACTCTTGTGTGTTTTTTTGTTAAGCATAGCTACATGTCTTTAATATTTTTAAAGAAGTGCCTCATACATCTAGTTTTGATCGCCCTACTATGTGGAATCACCCACATTTTTCTAAGATCAATTTTAGCACCAATCTCGCTGGCCCACTCCTAGCATAGACCACCGAAAGCTTGAGTTTCAAGTTAAATGCACAAGAGTTCCAAAAAAAAATTGATTCTTCCAGTCTGAGGTAAAAATTAACTGCGATCATGTATATCAAAGAAATTAAACAGATCAGATTAGCATGGATGTTGGCGACTAACTTTTTTATTTCGCTTTTTCTCACTTTATTCAATCTATCTCACTTTTGCTCACTTTTCATTGAAAAAATTCACTTTCATCACGATTTTCGCTAACACTGTACATATTGTAGTTAATGAACATTTTCGAAGGAGCTGTCCTCGTTCTCTCAAATAAAGTTGCTCATGTACAGGATTCTCCCCAAGCTGAGCCAATATGTGTTACATGATAAATTACTAGGATTAGTTGAAATTTACGTTGAATTTTAATTCAGCCTTGCTAAATGCACTCAAATGCGAAAACAGTAGACAAACAATGCAAAATCGTTTATGAAGGTTGCGCATTTGAGTAAATAATAAAATATGACTTAGTTTGAAAATAAAAAAAAAAAAGGTTATTTTTAGAGAGACGAAAAATACGAATTTACACTGAACCCGTTTTCATTTCCTCTTGGGCGTGATTTGAGCTGGGATTTCAATATAATTGCATTAACAATGGCACTTTTCACAAGCCTTGCACAAGTAACAATTCGGATGCATGTGTCGGACAAATCCTGAAAATGAATTTTAAACCAATTAACCTTAATCATTCGAGCTGAAATTTTGTATGCCGGTTTGGTTCGGTTTGGATGTTTCACAACTTATACGAAAAATTTTAACCACAAAAAGCACTATTACGGAAGAAGTTACCCAACTAACAATTATCACTCCTATTAGAGTTGCAAGAATGATTACACATTATTCCTTAAACAGCATTGTATACTGTAAGAACATT